CATCTGGGGCGCTGGAAGATGAGAACTGACTGGCGACTTTGTAGTACAACTTTAGCACGCGGAACAACCTGTGGAGCTGGAAGCTGAGAACTGGCCAGTTTGTAGTACAAGTGTAGTACGCGGAGGAGTCATCTCTCGCTGCTGAGTCAGCTCTCGCTGCTGTGAGTCATCTCTCGCGACTGAGTCATCTCTCGCTGCTCATTTATCTCTCGCTGCTGAGTCAGCTCTCGCTATAGCCATCTCTCGCGGCTGAGTCATCTCTCGCTGCTGAGTCATCTCTCGCGGCGTGCAGGTTTGGCACAGTTCATACTGATAGTATTTGGTTGCATTTATGCAGGACAGGACATTCAACTGCTGGTCAATACACCACTCATCATACACCGCTCGTCATACACCCCTCTTGTCGTGGCAAAGATACAACCCAGTACGCTGTTGTGAGCTGCTGATCCTGCAGGGGGCACAAGTCCGGAGCGCGTGCGTTTGACTGGAGGACGCGCATGTTGGAGAGAACGTGGACACTCCTATAGGTCAAGTTGTTCTTATATGAAACTTCCGCCGCCGGCTTGCCCGGGAACTACTTGTATACGAAAGTCACCTAGAGTACATGCCATACAGTACTACAAACGCCTCTCGCTTTAGCATCTTGAACACTCGCTGTAGCAGTAGCATCTTGAGCACGTGGATGATCAGCAAACACAAAAAAAATCAACAAAAACAGCATAACCCCGCAAGTGAGGATCCACATATCCAAGAATCCCGACAATCGAGGCAACCAAGCATTTCCAAAGGCTCTGAAGTCCCAAGGGATGCCTAAATCGATCGACTGGTGCTGCTCATGGGAGATCGATTCACCTCCGGATCCCTTTCCGGCCTTGTAAAGCTCTTCCCAGTGGTACTTGCCTGAGAGCTGCTCCTGCCAGTTCGATCCGCCCATGATGCTCCGACTCCTTCCAACCATGGGTGAACCCTTTGGCAGTTCGCCGGCCTTAGAAGGGAAGCAGGCCACCTGCCACGTGGGGTGACTGCCGCTGTTGGGCCATTCCTGAATCACTCAGAGCGGCCGGTGAATTTGTGTCAGATTGAACTGTGAACATGGCAGGGGTAGCCTCCCGAAGTGGAAGTGGACAATCCCTGTTTGTAGAGGAAATGGTCTTCCAACAACCATTCCATCCACTTCCATCTTAGTTCCAGAGAGTGTAGTCCAAAGTTAATCCTCTTCACCTCGCGTTTCACTTCGACCTCTCTGTTTCAAGAAGCACACCTCCCAACCAATAGAACACCGAACATCTTTGAAAAGAGGTGTGTTTCAACCCTGCCAGTTGCTCCCATCACGAAAACGACATGAAAACACATACACAGCACACACACACACACACCATGGATCCACTTGTTGACGCTTGGCTTCTAACTGCTCCCAACCGTTGGAGGACCGGACTGGAACTGAAACCATGTCCTTTTAAGGCGCACTCCATCGCGCCTCCAAATGCTGCAGCGCCCTTCGAAAGCCACGAGCGCACTTCCGCTTCGTGGAGTCATGACCTGTGCAGAATCGGCCGAATCGCGGACCTGGCGCGGCTGGACGACTGTGTGTAGTTGTTGTTTGTATTTCCCTAAGGATCCAAGTTACCTTCTCAGAAGGTGATTGGAGACACGAGACACTGGTTTCATATATGGCTTCATGCGTCTTCGCCAGTTCTACCCCTCCAACCCCCGACCGCTCGTCCACACGACAGCCCGCTCGGAGCGCCGAAGGCGCGCGTCGGATCCCTCACGCCTGCCAAGCACTCGCCGCGGCTAAAGAGCACCACGGCCCGGTGATGATCTCCGAAGGCCTCCCCCGGCACCCGATGGGCTGGATGATTCGGTGGCTTGGACGTGGGCGGAAGTGGAAGGGCAACAGAAAAAGAGAAAGAACGAAAGGAACCGCCTGGACCTTCAAAGGGGTGCGAAAAATGGAGATCCCTAAGTGTATAGGGGAGTCTATTGGAGACCCTGACGTGAAGGTGCTGGCGGAGCGTGGAATGTTTTGTTCGACGAGTTGGCTCGGGTGGGACGGCAGAAGATGGAGAAAGCGGACGGTGTGAAGTGCCACGTGGCCGCAATCAACTCAGCAGCAAAGAAGAAACTACAACCGGGAAGAGACCCACATGGAACCTGATTTCATGGACCTCTCGAAGACTATTTTCCTCTACTGTACAAGCCAGTGGTTTTCATGTTCCATGTTGATGTCTTCCAGGGCCTAAGTTGTGTGGGAAAATGGACGTGTCTATGGGTGGAAAGTGTCGTTTCTTCGTGACGTTCGAGTACACAGCTTACTGTGCCAACTGCTGGTGAATCAATCCGAAAACATTCCGATTTCAGTGGTCTGTTGGTAGCCGTGTGAGCTTACTAGCTTCTTCCTTCGATGACGGATCAATATATATATATATGTGTGTGTGTCCCATTCAGATTCTTCACTGGGCTTACATCCGGAACATGGCTCAGTCTTGTAGCTCCTTACCGGATCAAGGTCCTTTGAATGCAACAACTATCAACGCCCATCACAGTCCTCGCCGTGTCATAAATCTTGTTGTGTGGATGACTAGTCGATCCTCAGGTCCACACAGGTCTAGCGCATGGATCTACATGGATCGACCCCAGTCGTTTCTCCCAAGCAACACATGGACCTGTAGTAGGTCCCCGAGGACGTCGGCACTGAGAACGGCACCGACTCTTGAGGATAGATGTTAGACATCGTTAGACGTGAACAAATGACCATCCATGTATGGAATATTTACCTACATTGACCCCAGGTCAACCACCCCTGTCTGTATGGATTCATATGCCAGTCCCAGACAAGGTCGTGTCTGGGCAAGATCTGTTCGGTTGATTTCGGACCGCGGGATCGGAACCACCCAACTCCGCTGATTGACCAACACTTCTTCTTCATAAAGGTGTAACTTCTTGGGTTGTTGATGCTCCGAACATGGCAAGATTGGAGGGGACCACCCTACCATCCATTTAGACCATCCCTACCAGCCGGGAGGCCCCAATTTGGCGTCCCCCGCAAATCCCTACCTTTCTGTTTAAGACACACCCACATCTGCATGGCGTCCTGGCGTCCCAGGCCTCTTTGACCTTGGCCTGCTGCAAGCAGGCCTCACAGTCGTCTGCGTTCCGTTCCAAGCTGCGTAAAGACTCTCAGGGTGGTGAGGATATGGTGGAACGGTGAAGGTGGCGGAAGGCAGTCGAAAGCCTATGGTTGCTGGTTTTCGTGGACTTAGTATTGGTGACGTTTATAACCAAACCTGTTCCGGTCCTGTTCAGGGGAACATGGCGTTCTCATGCGTTCTGATGGTATTTTGGTATAGGACTGACTGAAGATTATTCCAATTTCGGCGTTCAGAATCACTTGAACAGTTACCATCCAAATGACTCTTGATGATATCTGCAACCCCCCCATGCAAAGGATATGATGAGAGGATTCTGTTCCCATGACTCTTGATGCCATCTGCAACCCCCCTTATGCAAAGGTGGTTGCCAATCCAAATGAGAGGTCGATCTTTCATGAATTCAAGATTCTACATTGGTTTCCTCAAGGTACCTTCCTGGGTGGAGCCTTCCTCCACCAGGTCGGTTGTTGGCTGTTCGGAATGTTTTTGTTTTGCCCTCCAAGAAAGGAAAAAGACTCCCCCGGGTTAGATGAACATCTTTTTATGATTCCCCAGGTTTCATGATTCCCCAGGTTGGAACATACAAAAGCAAACGGTTCACAACGTTCACAACTCCACTGTCCATGATCCCCCCCGCCTCTCCAGAACAGATCACCCGAAGCAAAGAGCTGACAACACCAAGTGGTCCTTCTTCCCCCCTCTGAATTCTTGAGACGTACTCCGACACCCCACTGGTGCACCAAGGATAGACCCCTTTCCAGATTGGAGCGCTGGGATTCATGGCGACCCGTTGTGGCTGGTTGGATGGCGACCCGATGACAGACCAGCCTCCAATGAGGTTAATTTAATAGGGAGACCCCCAAGCAATGGGGGTTTGGGATGGTTTTGGCGTATTTCCCTTCTTCCAAAAGATCGAACTTGGAGGTCTCCTTATTTTAATACACACACAATTCACTGCGGATTCCTTTAATTTAATGATTCCTCATATGTAATTAATGGTCCCCTATGTGCAGGGCCCAGAGTTTTGGGGAAGATCTGCAGTGCCTTGTTGCAGAGCCCCTTGCGTACCTGACACCTTGAGGCCTGGGATGGAACCCTCGCATGCACCAGTGGGGTAGCAAGCCCCAATACAGGGAATGGAGACGGTTCTCAATCATATATAAAATCAGGTTGCCAGACTTCAACCATCTTCTATCACAGTCCGGAGCCTTGGCATTTTCGTAGTCGGCCATCAATCCGTGGATTGGCAGGTTGAAATGGTAGCAAATGCTTGTGGCTGATTGATGAGTGGTGCTTCTGCAGGTCTGGTTCGGTTGCTGACTAGTGTTGAACTTCAGAATGTGGGGTCAAGCAAGCGATCCAAATAAAGCTAACTCCTGCTCGGTCGTCGAATGGGGTGGGATGGATCCACAGCTGGACCACTTCCTGTCGACCCGGCATCCAAGGACTACACAGCCCCACAGATCTGTAATATATTACTATATATATATATATTATATGAATTTACTACGTTTGTCTGAGTCGTTAGTTCGAAGATGATCGAAGTATCGATTTCAGAATGCTTCGCATGAACATTCAATGACTAGGTGGCAGTTGGGGATCCAACAATTCTATCATAAATGTCTTGAGGCACCAACTCTCTTTTCGGTAGCAATCAAGGGGTCAGTCCCTACCTATACCAATCTGCTAGGTGCCATCTGCCCGCATCCTTGACCGCTGATCCTTGAGCCGAGGTCATGTCGCCGATCGCACCGCCGATCCGCCACAAAGCCCGTGCATTCGATGGCAGAACCATCTTTTCCCAACAGGAAGCCACTCCCAAACACTCCATGGGACTGGCATATGAATCCATACATTGGGGTGGTTGACCTGGCGTCAATGTATTCTGATGTACTTCATTGGATTGAGCTTGTGACTTGAAGTCAAAAGTCTCGGAGCTTTTTCTATGACTTCCACTTCTAACTTTCAGATGCACTTCTTTTGCGGGCCCATCACCTTCCAGCTGATGGAACCGCAGAAGAAGGAGCCCCTCTCCGCGACTTGACCAGGGCTCTTGCCAGCAAGTGCTGGGCTTCAAAGCTCCATTGACAGAGTCGGGCAAAGAAAAGGAAGATCGACCCAGACTCACATCTCATGTACCCACAATTCCATCGATCTTGATGATCCCCAGTTGATACGGTTGTAGAAACATCTAGAAATGGGTTGATCACGGTTGATCAGTCCCAGGTCGCACCATACAGCCTGGTTGATACGGCATGAAGGCACCCGGATCGCCTCAAGAGGTGCTTGTGATGGGGCTTCCAACCCTCCAGGGAAGCGCTGAAATCTCGGGGATTCATGGAGATCGTGGATGGTGCCATTTGGGCCCCTTCAGAAAGGAAAACAGGACTCCGAGGATTGCCAAATCCAAAAATCCAAGCAGGCAGATTCTGTGACATTGTGTGACTTTTTCGGAACAAAAGGAACTCGCTCTAGAGGGCGGCCCGGGGCCCCGCATCCTGTCATCCTCAGGTTTTGTCTCCGGCCCTTCCTTTTTGTGGTAACATGGCGTGCCTTGACAGACTGGCTGACTTGCAGGAAGCATGACTCCTGCAAACTGAGTCGGCCGATGTCCGGAGACCACGACTCAGTCTATTTCACGGCATTCCGAGCATTCCGCAGACCACGACCACGACCACAGCGGAGGTGGCTGTGCCAAACAGACCTACCTCTGGAAGTCGAATTCGTGTTCGGAATGTCCAAAATCCGGAGGCTGATCAAGGATGATCAAGGGCCCAAACAGAACGTGTTGTCTGCTCTGTTCACTGTTCACTTTTTCAGGGCGCGAGAGCAAATAAGCACTGGGTGCTCATTCTATGCACACCCATATTGTGTTTGGGCTGCGGGCTGCAAGATGTAAAGCTCCAACAAATAAAGCAAAAACAGTGCTCTGAGTGACACCAAGTGAGATATGTTCCATGCCGGCGGCATCGCGATCCCGGTCGTGTCCTCTGGAAGCTCTGCCCTCACCAGCACCACAAGCAAAAGCTTGGCGGTGAGCATGGCCTGTCAAACATCTGCAATGAACAGTCATGTGATGCCATGTGAAGAGTCGCCCGAGTGTTGGTATGTTCCAAACACAACGAATGAGAAGCTGCTTGGGAGTGCCCCGTTCGTTTGTTCACTTGAGGATGACTTTGCCAAAGTAGTTGGCAAGGCCACGTACCAAGTGGGTTTGAAGCAAGGTGACCCTATAGTAGCCATCTCATGTAACTGATTACATAGATGGGACTCAAAACCAAAGGCAGCAGGATGTGGATGACATCCCGACCACACTTGTTTGACCTGGGCAAAAGGGTGAGCACCCCTCAATCAAAGATCACACCTCTTTTTCAAGTCAAGGCTTTTTGGTGCAAAGAAACTAGGGAGTCCAACGGATTCTTGTCTACAACAAAAACTCACAGCTGCTACTTTCTGCAGCCCTATTTCTTTTTTTGGTGAAAAGTGCGACTCGTAGGCAGTCGTGGTCCTTAGATGTTCGATGACAAAAGTCACACTCCTTGCACGTCCGTGCAATGTTCTATTGCAAACTGAGTTAAACTGATGCTGGCTATTTGCCATCCAAGTCGGTGTCCCTTCTCTTGGGTTGAGTAGCCCAGCGACGCCCAGCGAGAGGGGGCCCTCTGCCGGTCCCAAGTACTTAGGGGCGCGGAACCCTGGGTAGGATGGGCTCCCTCTCCGAGCTCCCTCTCTCAACCCTCGAGCCTTCGGTTCAGTAAGCAGATGGGCACCACCTGGTCCTGGGCTAGTTCCACTCATGTTCCCAGGGCTTTTGTATCAAGACATATCAAGATCATGGCTGTGGGATGCATCAGGGACTCTTTGTTCATCTTTGTTCCTTTCAAGCTGGGTAACTTTTGGCAAAGCGCCACTTCAGGTTGAACAAAATGCCAAAACATGATTCCACATCATTCAGTTGTTCATAGCCGTTCACTTCTGAGGCTGTGAAAGCTCCCTGTTTCCCGGTTGATTTTGGGCCTTGCACCGAGGCGTTTGGGCTGCATCTGCTCATCTCACGCGCCCTACAACAGTAACACTGGGCCCACCTCGCACGGATGGCCCGTGTCTTTATTTTTGGTTTCCCCCAGCCAGGGTTCCCAGCCTTCAAGTCTTTGTGATGAAAAACCCTGAAGCATCGTTCACCGAAGCTCACTGGATAGCCTTGTGGAGCATTGACTTCTTTCTGTGGCTTGGGCCGAAGGCGCCGGAGTCTACACTGGGAATACACTCCATGTGGTCATCCAAGGGTCCATTTTCCACTGTGATGATAATTGCAGGGGAAGTACACTCCCTCAAATGATCATGGAGGTGGATGGCATAACCCCGAAAAGGAGGACCATGCTCTCCAAGCAGTGTGGTTTCCACATGTTTTCACTCAAATGCATGATTTGAAGGGAGTCATCCATCCAAAGCTTTGCCCGTTCGTTCCCCATCCGTCCACAGACTGCGACCGGAAAGCGTCGCCGGCCAGGAAGCGCTGGTCGACCGGGTGAGCCGAGACGCCGCGGACCGGCGGCGTTGGGGGTCGACACATCGAGGGGGTCGAGTGAAGATATAGGACCACATGGGAGAAAGGGTAGTGAGTCTAGACTCTAGACATGTCATGACATGTCTATATGCAGTACATGGTCCACATAGTGGTCCACATTCAAGCATCCAACTGTTTGGCTGCGGCTTTTGGAAGGACACCAAGGGGTAAGATGTGTGTGCGTCCTCCCCTCCATAGGGACGACAAACGTGTGCTGTTTGATATTGCACGGTTGGACACATCCAGCCAGGGACTGAAGCATCCTCTTTCGCGTTTCCTCTTATTAAGCTTCACTGTAAGCTTCCAATGCTGGGGACCCCACAATGAGTGCTTGACTTCCCAATCTCCCCATCCTCCACACGCTGAGACTGGGCCCACCTCGCTCATGACTGGGCAAAAGCTCGCGCGCTGTGTCTACCTGCGAGCTTCCAGATCACGGACAAGCATAAATGACCTGGGCATACTCTCAATAGGTAAGTGGTCTTCGGGAGAGCGCGATCACCACCAACGCGGCCTCCGTTTGCACGGCAAACCTGTTTGGCCCATAGGGCTCCAAGGATTTTCTCAAAAGGTGCTTAGACTATCCTAGACATCTGCTTTTTTTCAGGTGCTTAGACTATCTTAGACATCTGTTTTTTTTTTTTCAGATTTTCGTGAATGGAAGTTGTATCTAATGAGGGACCCTATATATATATATAATGAGGAAGAGGCAACTGCATGTTTGGACATTGTTTCTTTTTTGCGATTGCAAAAGTCCTGGACAGCATATCGCAGCTTGTGCGAATGTGTCACCATGTATCGCAAACGAGTGCGAATGGCGGTTTCGCAAGTCGCACGAGACGAAACTGATGTTGGCCACATCATGACATGGCTGTGGGTCAAAACCAAGATATTACATGGAAGGTTGTTGGCTACATGGTGGAGCAGGGCTCCAGGTTTTGACCCATCCCCGCATGTTAAGTGTACCAACCTTAACCTGAGTAAGTTTTAGCCACAGCTTTTAGCTTTCTGGGCAACCTACCGCCAAAACACAAGGATGGCTACACGGCTATACCTGCTTTCGGCTTGGATGATCTGCTTGCATGAAGGCAGTTTCATGTGTACCTTATTTAATGAATGTGCAGATTCAAGATCATCCAACAGGCACTTGACTCCTGGGTATCGGTTGGATAGCCCAGTAGAAGAAGAAGAAGCTCAGCTCATGCATCTCATCTACGCTTCAAACAGGAATACATTGCTTGATAGCCACCGCGTTGGACTGCACCCTGCTGTGAAGATCAGTCACAGACCTTAGAGGTCTAACAACAACACCGTAGAGGTAGAGGTGCAGCCGATGCATGGATTGATGGTACCTGTCGGAGACAACAGCGTTGCATGTACAGTATTTCTAGGTGGATTGGCAGGAGTCATCAAGGTTTCGTGTCGTTTTCTCATGATTGGCACCAGGACGGCCAAAAACAAGGTGACCAAAGTGTAAGCATCTATAACATCTTTCCCAGAAGGGGATTCAACCGTTCTGTGAAACAAAAACATCCGCCAGGCTCAGCACAACCAGGCTCAGCCTGCTGCTTTTGTCTCAAACATTTCCACACTGAGAAACCTTTAAGCGGCGGAACAGGAAGCAGATTCAATCTGAATCAGCCCGATGCCAAACAGAACACATCTGGGCCGACACGGGGATGAACTAGAATGAATCTTGTTCTGAGTCTATCCCACTCCATGTACATCACATTTTGTGACTTTCTGGTCTGGGGTCTGTGACCGCCAAAAAACCCAACCCACTCCGTCTAACATTTCTGAGCGTCGCTTTGGCTGCTGCTGGATCACCTCCATTCACCAAGGTGATGGCTTGGGCGATGTTCCAACAAAGATGCCCACCATGCGCCTCGCGACTCGACGAACTCCTTCAAACAAAAAAACACCATACATGGCCGGTGGGATGCGGGTATCAGTCATGTTCACCCGTAGGGAGGTTGACTATCTCTATATAGCAGAAAAAACCAGTAGTGGACATTCTGCTCATTCTGCCGCACATTCGCACAGGATTCCTTTGGGTTTGGACCCTGTGCGGCACATGGTGTGCTGGGGAGCCATTTGCGGACGATCGAGACCCGATCGTGGCCCTCTGAGTGGCCTTGGACTCCGGCAAGGCTTCTGCCGTTCGTGTTCGGTCCAAATGGTGTTTTACCACCCTTAGAATCCTTGGGCTCTCCATGGCAGGGGTCGGAGCTTCTCCACCGAAACGCAGGGGTCCAGGCCCGAACCACACCCTATCTGTGTTTGAGGGTCCGGATTCTGAGGGCACATGCTTTTGACCACATGAAAGAAGGGGGGTCTGGGACCCACCAGAACTGGGTGGTGATGTCATCTCTGATGGGATCGGCCTCAATGTGCTGGTCGACTCCGGCTGCAAACATGGCCTGATCCACAGGGAAGAAAGCTTAGAATGCCTCACCTCATGACCCATGATGCCTCTTGTCAACCTCATACTTGCGCCCATCATTCGACTATGCAGGTGCTCACTTCTGTGTAAGCCCAGCTTACTTTGGGTGCTTGCACTACATGAATGAAAGCCACCTATAACATAACGATCATGACACATCATGACATTCTAGATTCTAGATTCATGAAGTCCCCACCAATACGCTGTGGGCGTATCGTGTGCAAGTCGGTCTCTTGAGTATGGCGGCCCAAGAGTTTGCGGCCTGTGTGAGGGGTGCCTTCAGGTTAGCCAAGACCAAGGACTTCTTGCGCTTCTCCAAGGAAATGGCCAAGCTTTCGATGGCCTCGCACCCCGTCATGTCGGTGCCGTTCACGGATTTACAATCCAAGATCAAATGAGACACCGAAGAGTCAGATTTGCTTGCAGCGGTCATGGCGCGCATGCAAAACTCCTGCAAACGTCGGGTGTTTGCAAAGCTCAATCCAGCATCCATTCGAACCACGACGCACTTGGGGAACATGCGACCCTCTGGATAGTACCTCACATCTCTGAAAGTTCCATCTTTCACCTGCACGCAAACGGCCAAGTTCGGCATCGCAACTTCATAGGTGAGCTTCAAAATGGACAATGAGACGCCGGTGATCAGGCCCTCCTTCACCGTCAAGCCCAGAGACACTAAAAAGGTGAAGACCATGATGAGGAAGTCCAACTTGTTTCCTTTGAAGGTAGGAATGAAGGCTTTGAAGTCCGTGACACCAATTGCTCCGTGGATGATCAAGGGAGCTAAGGCTGCCAAGGGCAGCATCTCCACCACTGGCATCAAGGAGTACACTGCAATCACCACGATGATTGATGTCAAGGCACCTGCCAGTGGGGAGCTGGCCCCGAACATGGCATTCACTGCCGTCCTGGAAAAGCCACCAGTGATGGGAAAAGCTCCCATGAAGGCTCCACCAACATTCGCAGCACCTAAAGCCAAAAGCTCTTGATTGGCATCATAGCTATATCGCTTTTCATTCGCCATCTTGCCACCGACTGCCACGGTTTCCAAGAAACCCACCACTGCAATCATCACCGCAGGCACGATGAGATCGGGTGTCTTGTCGTCAAAACTGGGCAGCAGGAAAACAAAGCCATCGCTTTCGCTGTCATTGATGAGCCTCACAGAGTTAATTCCAGCTTCCCTGTAGATGAAGCCCCAAACCCAGCCAAGGATCACACAAAGCACCGAGGACAAGTCCGCACAAATCTTCATGGACTTGAAGGCACAGGAGTCCTTGTTCTTGGGAAAGAACCTCCAAATGAGGCTTTTTGAGCGCTTGGCTTGATTCCCCGCCTGCTTCCACTTCTTAAAGAAGGTCAGCATGGCCAACAGTGTGAAGCCAAGCACGGCGGTAGCGGCATCCGCTTCCGGAAGCTTGGAGCAAAGGTCATAGGCCGTCTCCCACCAGTACTTGTGCCGCTTGATATTGATGCCAAGGACGTGCTTCAGTTGGGAGGTCGCAATGATCACGCCTGCTTTTCTAGACTTCGTTCTTAAGCTAACCAGTAGGGTTGTTCAATTGCATCACTAGAATATTGATTCAACAAAAAAAAACATGGCAAGGAGGTAAACGACTTGACACATGAACTAATGAGCGGGCTGGTTCACCTCTTCGAACGCTTCCGAATAGATTGATGTCTGCAGTCTCCGGATAAACATAGAAATGATATCCATGTATAGCCATAAGAATGAATAATCCATATGAATAATCAATATCTATAAATTCATCGCATTCGGTTTTTCTTTATAGACTGGATCGGTCAATTCCCAGCGGTGCCGGGTGTGTTTTTTGCACCACACCGCCTGAGGCCGTGCAGAAGGAGCTCATGACGCTATGGGACATGAAATCCACCACAAAGCCAAAACGCAGGATGCCCAAGAGAAGACTCACCAGGCCCACTAAGAGAGCTAAAGTGCTTGCCCCAGTCAAACCTGGTTTTGTAAAACATAAAGCCACACTTAACAAGATTCATGAACAAAAACACATAGCCAGCTTCTACTTAGGCATGGAAAAACATATGAACAAAAACAAGCAAACAAACCGATTCATCAAGTACTTTGCGATCTTGAAATAGACAATAGGGAAAAAAAACAGAAACCAGCAACATCAAAAAAAAACAACCAAAACCCTCCAAGAAGCGCTCGTTCTCTCCCAACAAGTTCACTGCATCCAAGGCTTGACCAGTCAGGAGACTGATCAAGGCCGTCGGTCCAACCTGAAGCTGTCGCAGTGTACCTGAGTGCTGGTCACCCAGTCACCCGGTCCGGCTACCAGTCCCCGCAAAAACAAACACCGAACAAGTCTGCGTGTATAGAATGAGATGGATGTTTGATGGGTATTGCTAATTTGTGATGAATTTTAATGCTGTTACCCAAAGCAGTTGAGTATAACAATTTAATTGAAAAGAAACAACAACACTGACTGTCTATAAATATACACATAGATACACATAGTATTCAGAGATGTAAAAGCAGAAAAACACAACGAGTGACAGTGACGTGTTAAGCCTCTTTAGCCTACATTAAGACTGGGTTGGTCAGTGATAATGATTATATATCGATATCGAACAGTTTGTTCAATAGCAACACCAGACCTTCAACAACTAATCCAGCTACCCAGCAAGGCATAGATCACCAGGGGAGCAAATGAGGAATACAAGCCAGCTCGAATAGGCAGCCCTGCCAACAAGGCGAAGGCCAAGCATTGCGGCACCAGCATCAGTCCAACGGTGAGACCTACGAAAGCAAGCTGGATTCAACGACGACCGTTGTTGAACAACAAACCTGGTTTTCAGCATCTGAAACAGTACGAAAAAGATCCTATACAATCATATCACATGTTGGAAACATGCTGGAATAAACATGACGAATATTCTTCTGGTTCTCTCTGATTACACTCTGGAGTACCTGTGGTTTGTTGCGTATTTGCCAAACCTTGATAAGCTCACTCGTACCAACATGTTTGTACATAAGAAGGAGAGGTTGTATCAGTGTGCGTGTTTAGTGCACAACCAAAGTGAATACCTGGAATTAACTTAAAACTCTCAATCCCATCAAGTACACGGTTTTCTGTATATATATATTATACAGATCTCATCATATCTCATAGTATTGTTGAATATGTTGAATTTATTTTGTATATTAATACAGTAGTATATTTACTGTACCTGGATTCAAGCTCAAAGAGGATCATCAATTGCTCTGTTCGCATGCCCAACGGCCACGGCCTGCAATGAGATCGCCTTTGATGGAGTACGGCAATTCTCCCATTCGATCCGTGTCTCCGGTGGTAGCATTTCCTGCACAGTCCCCATATCGTTTGTTTGGGCATTCCACAACAACGCACTAAACCATCCACACAACTGCAGAATCCCATCTCCCCGCCTTTAGCAAATCTGATATACGCAGGCAGCCAAGTGAATGGAGGAAACAAGGACTTGAATTCGAACCTGCTACCTCCATAAACCTCCTTCCATGCAGGAGGCACAGGCGTCTCTTCACCCTCGGCTCGTGGAGATTCCATGGCCGCTTCGGGGTCAATCTCAACTTCGGCTTTGCGTTCCACCTCCGCCATCAGACGTTGCTGAGTCGCCGCTTAAATGCTTAAAGAAGAAAGCACTGGAGAATCAGCTTGAGCAGCTTGGATGACAATACAGACGTCTCACACATGGTCACAAGACGACAAACACTGCTGGAAGAATGCATTTATATATATGTCCAAATATGTCCAAATGAACGAAGACAAACCATCCTTCTTGCTATGCGTACATGCTGATAACCAAGAAGAGATGCCGCTAGCATAACGCGTTACATGGAGGTTGTCCGCCCTCCAATCGCCCAAAGGAGCTCACCTGATATGCCCTCTCTAGAGGACACAAGCATGTCAGCATGTCCTTTCGCGAGGACGATAGAATGTACAAGATGTCAGAGATTTACATCCACATGTGCATCCACCTGATATGCTTCCACCTTCACCCCCCGGAGTGTCATCGATTTAAAAGCAGCTCGCAGAACGCCACACCGACGCCGTCTTCCTTTCGTCGATGCAGTTCTCGGTCGCCGGACGCCGCGTGCGATCGAACCCGCCCCCGCTCCGGCGCCTCAAGGAGGCAGGCGCGCGGGGTGTTTGGCGGAACAACTCAGCAGCGATGCGATGGACTGGACTAAGCCTGATCTTGCGCCTTCTTTCGAGATTCAGGTTTCAGTGGATTTGTTCATGGTTCATTAGTGAACGGATGAACGGATAGATATGTATATACTGCAGGTACTATTGCACGTATGTAATCCCAAGGGATCCACCTCTCTGAGGTACGGTGATTGGAGACACTTTGAAGATGTGGGTTTGGAGGGTCCAAGTACCTTCTGAGAAGGCATGTCAGTTCCCTAATGCCCCAACCACATCCGAAGTCGAAGGCTGATGCTGAAAAGGAGGGATTCTGTCCCTACCTTGTGAGGATTTTTGCTCCCAGGAGGTGTAGACTTTGTTATGGACTTCAAAAAGCGAATCACTTTGGTCATGAAATGTCATGAACTTCAAGGCGCTGCTCGGGCGCAGTGCGAGCACCACCGGTGTGTCATGTGTCATGCGGGATGTCACAGCTGTGTAAACCGCTGCGGGAAACAGCCCGATGGGCTAAAACCGACCTTTGGGAGGTCAGAGAAAGCTCGGTCATCCCAAATGGATGTGTTTTTGACCGGCCCAGTGTATATGATAAGTGTCGCGCTGCGCCATTGGGGGGGAGAGAGAACAAAAACACAAGCTAATCCGCTGCCATCCTACAAGCTAATTGCAACTCTGCTTGCACATGCTCCAAAAGCATCTTTGAGCCTGTGTCAGAGCACTGAATCATTGCCAAAGGGGCCGGCTGCTTTTCGCTCATGATCTGATTTGGTTGGAAATTGACCGAGCATGTCAGAAGTACATGATGTTCCATCTCCTGTGACTAACTACTCCCATACCATGCATACATTGCAAGGCTCTTTTCACGGCTCCATGCAGGGCTTGATTGTTGACTTTCCTTTTTCCTCACAGGCCACTGCTCCTCAAAGCATCCTGCACCTGCAAGTCTCGTCATAGCCCGGCTAGCTGGGAGTGGGAAAGGCGCTAAGTTCTCGCTTGTGGCTCGACCTGAACAAATGGTGACCTGGACGCCCCCAGGATGTCCGATGTTTGCTTGATTAATGCTTCCCGATGCACTCTGTGCTACTGGGATATTATCTTGTTGCATGAATTGAGAATTTGGTCACATCAAACTGGATGACTTCTTGAAAGATGTCGAGGTGGGGATCCCACCAGCCTAGATTGGCCCTGCATGGCTGTGAAAGCATCCAACTGTCTGAACAAACAACGATTGAAAGAACATGAAAGAACCAATCACACAATGATGCAGTTGACATCATGATGGGGATTGTTGAACTCCTTCACTTCCAAGGCTTTGCGGGTCAAATAGTCAAATGAGTGATTTCTGTAACCCAAAACTGCTGCCCTCCTGCACTGACCATGAAACTGATGAAAAAGGAATATCAAAAGTTGCTCCAAGACCATCCAAGACCCTAATAACTCCACACCCTCCCTCTTGAAGGTCAGACTTCCTGTTTTCGAGGTCGACCTCCTGCTTCCGAGGACCGCCTGCTCAGGAGCGGAGGACAGCAACACCTCGGGAGTCATTCTGCGTCGGCGTCGGTTTCACCGGATCGCGCGGGGGTTCCCCTGCGGCCCCCGCGTTGCAACGTGGTCGGATATAGGCCGACACCATGAAAAAGGGGTACAGAGATCCAGGTCAGTCATGTGGTCCGTTGGACTTTCACACCAATGATATCCAATGACTAATGACCCTGTTTGTTTGAGCCAACTCCAAAGAAGGAGGAGACCACATATCTCGCCAAGCTGAGAACGAACTCCTTCAAACGGTGCGAGATCGACTCCCAACCCTCCGCCCCTTCGGCGCAAAAAACAAAAACGTCGCATGGCCTGCAGCTGTTCCGGACGGGTGCCGCCCAACTGCTTCAGCCAAACCTCGTGCTGTGAAAAGCCCGTGGCACAAAAAGAGTTGCCATGATTTGCCCTAAGAATCAAGGAGCCTCAAAGGCAAAGGTTTTCTCGGACCAAAGCCCCTGTTATGGGTCAAAGGCCTCCAGTTGGGTCCAATCATGCTGGGTGCGAGATGTTGAAGACCGATCTCCTTGGATTTCGAATGATATCGAATGGTTACGGTCAGGATTCCACCCTAGAGTTTCGAGCCCATAGTCGGAGATCAGTTTCCAAGCACATGTCGGAGTCCAAGATAAGTGTCCGAACTTGAGATCCGAGATGTCCGAGTTGCCTGTTCTTGCCTTCCATTTTCGCCAAGGCAAACCAAAGTCGCTGGAGTCGCTCCACTTCTACCTTCATGTGCTTAAGCAAGGCCCTAGGGCCCGGGTCCTAGGGCTTCATGGGGTGAGGCAATCCAAGAGGATTATTATATATATACCCATGCTATGTGTGTTTAGAGCAACGCAGACTTGCAGACTTGGAGAGGACTGTGGGTGCGAGACCTGTCCTGATTTGTAAATCAACGGTTCATGTGTTTTTGCAACTGAAAATCACCGTGAACCCGGTTTACTTCTGTTTACTTCCTGGTTGAACAGTTGTTTTGAGGCTTGTGTAGCTATAGCTACATGCTAAAAAATGAAAAGACAAAATATGTTTAAAGAAAAAAACGTGTCACATGCTTCCCAGCAATCTACACCTGAACCCAAAATTGGGTTCCAAGGAAGAAAAGTTAAGCTTTCCCCTCTGCCAGCCAATGCCAAATTTCGGCTGCCCGTCGACCGGCGTTGCTGGGGCCACCGGACGGCCATCCAGCTGAAGAGCCAGCCTCCAAAGGCCATTCGGTGGAGTAGGGATTGGACCAAAAGACATTGAACAAATCTGGGGAGTAGTGGAGTAGAGATTGTCAAACAGTGGGGATTTGAACCAACAGTTCTGAGAGGGCTTTCCATGGCCCCTCATAAGACGATGTTCGTGTGGCCGAAAACAACTATCCTGTTCGCGCTGCAATTGATCTCTTGACGATCTTCCTCTACAAACAGGGGGTTGTCCACTTCCATGTCTTGGAGGGAGGGTATACAAATACATGCACCATGTCTTGGTGTGTTTTCGAACAGCTGAACGGTTGAACGCCGAACACAGCGCAGTATCTTGGCGACATGAAAACTTATCTTGCGGTATCTTCAAACTCGTGCGCCATGAGAGTTCAAACAGGTTCTGGCGCCAACTCACGTGGAGTTTTTGAAGAGTTGAATGGCGGCCATGGCCTTGAGCCTGGGCTGTTCAAAACGAAAGTAGTGCTTTCTATGCAGCTTAGTCTCAACCAAGAACAGTCTTTGATGCATATTTGTGCTCGACGAAGGCCATCTTCCAATACACTGTGCAAGGGAGGTGACCGTAGCTGGGCATGGTGGTCTCTGCCTTGCAGAACTCCCAAGGCCACTGCGCTGCGAAGGTCAAAAGGCTCCCAAATCCCGAAACGAACCCTGGGGAAACACAAAAAACAATCGCCAACCAAAGCAAGCAGGTAGACATATGGTGTTCCATCCCACAATGAGTTCTCCAGCTGAAGATCCTATATAAAACCAATATAATATAAAGACTATTTAAAGACGGTTATGTCCCCAACGAAAAGCAAGGTTATCCAGTTCAGGTCGACCTGTGATTCCGGTTGACTTTTGATCACCAGTCACTGGTTTTTCAGTCCGTCGGAGCGTTGATCGAGTCGACTCGTCGACCGTGTCGACCGTGTCCCGCACGTGCAATGGTGGCGTCCTCGATGGAGCCATCCTGGCGGAGTTCGCCATCGACCGACGGGTGACGAGAAGTGGTTTCCTGAGCCGACGTGACGTTTTCTAGTGGTTGGTTTGGTTGGAAAAGCATGTCGTAGGAATACTGCAGGATTATACATGCAGGTTTGGAATGCTTAAGACATTTATGTGACTTCTCCCTTTTGAGGGATCTACTCACCAACGAGGACCCCTTCCGCGTGGCACCAGCTCAAGTTTGAGTATCTCCGTCGCCCAAGTCTTGTTCTACCACCGGAAAACCTCACGTCAATGAGCGCATGGCTTCAGATTCAGCCAACCAATCCCGTACAAACCAGTGCATGTGCGACACAAAGAAATGTATTCCACCAACTGCAAAGGGCAACCGACAATGGCTATACACAATGCATCTCTGGGTCAGATGTCATCCCATAACCATCAACAAGGTAAATCTCCCATGATGTCTTAAACGCAAATATTGCTAACTAGCATACGATCTTTGGCAATCAATAGCAAACGATCTTTGGCAACCAATCCTTTTTACTATTCCTTTTTTGGGGGTCTTTGCTTTGCTCTGCATGTCGCTACCGACGCACCATCAGCTGCAAGTGCCCAGGCAAGTGCGCAAAAACTTCCCTTCCCCCGACCCGGTCGCTCCATCCGAACCGATGCCCGGTGTCTCTCGCGGTGGCTTACGACGCGGTGCCACCTCTTTGAGGTGGCTCTGCTTCAGCTCCGCAGGCCTCGCGTGACCGACTGCGCTGACGCCGGCTGACC